GCCGTAGCTTAGCGCTTGAGGAAGCGTAATTTAGGTCATCGACCTTTCGTTCTTTACAAGAAATAATACGAGTGTAGCGGATCGCAATTTGCTACCTCCAATGGTAGTTAGTACCTTAACCAAGGCTAATAAACTCTTCGATTTAAATTCAAAAGCTTTATTTATTTATATCTGCGGCAAAACCGCCTAATTTAAATGTATAGATCTTACCAAATATATATAGTAAATTCTAAATTCATGCATAACTACTGGCTACCTAGCCACATACCGTATTCTTGTCTGGGTGCAGTCACACCATGCACCTCTCGTGTGACACACACCCCTGTTACCAGGGTACGTGTAACCCCGTGACACTTTTGATTTATAGATCAGGAAACCAAAATTTCATCAGTAAAACCTCCGGGAGCCCTTGGGTTGTTTTGCATGTAATCAGAAACCACATGCAAATCACCAAAGGGTCCTATAGATTCAGTTGCAAATCTACCTTTGAGGTATAAGTGCTTCTTCTTTCCTCCAAGTCGAACTGATCTCTCCCTCCACGTCGGGAATCGCTCCCTCGCTGCACAAGCGTGTGTGTTGTGTTTGAGGGACCATTTTTGAACAGCGCACTCTTACATTCGTCTGCTTTGACTAAATAATCTTTCGTCCACTTTCGCGTGGAAATTTACTAAACTTATGTCTGACTGCTGATTTACTGGCATACTATCGACGATCGGTGCTTCTCTTCTGAAGTAGTAAGGTATTCAAACTGCATATTGAATGCTGATCTCTTGAAACTTTACAGAACTGCAGGCTTCACGTCCATCATGGGCAATTTTGGAAAATTTACAGTCAAAGGCGTTGCAGGAATGTAAGCTTACGAATGCAATGGCACCTTGTACCTTTACTCTACTACAGCTCGAATCCTGTATCATTACAAGCTGGGGTAATGAGGTAGCGATGCTGCAAGTGCACAACATGAATCTTTATGATATGAAACATTATTTTTCCTTCTCTATGACTGACGCTACTGTACTTCATCTGTTCCTCATTGACAGTTTAGACAATGTTTGAGATTTCTGCCACTGTCGCTTAACATCAAACAGTATTTATACACATAACTGTGCTGATAAGCGTACGAATCATACCCTGATGCAGGCAAAAGATTCTGTAGCGATGCCCCCAGCTGACTCTTTTTTTATTATTCAAAAAAATCATAAACGACATGTAGCTTGCGTTATATTATTTGTTACAGATATCTGAAATCATGGACAATGCGATGATTTCGCATACTGAAGTAATCACTCCGACTTTTATATTGGTCCTCTGTAATCGAGTAAGAAAAGTGGTGCGATCAAGACAAAGTTTTTCTTGTAGCTGAGCAGCCACCGACATGGATGCATTTGACGAAGTGACAGCCATATTATCATACTATACGTTAAGAAGTTAGCGAAATATTCGTTTTTGAGCAAAATATTGTTATCCTTTTCTTCATATTTTACTTCGTTGTCGTATTGCAACCAAGATGGCCAGCTCGAATTCTGGTTCATTCCGCTTGCGATCAGATGAGAATCGCCGCCCCAATTTTGGCCGGTCTGCATCCTCTGTAAGTAACACCACAGTGGATGTTGACATGAAGGACGCATCGCCAGCGCCGAACGCTCCCTTTGGACGATACCATCGCGCAAAGCTATCATCTGCGTCTTCAACAGCATCTTCGTCAACCTACCGCCAACCATTTCACGGACGCAATGCCACTAGCAATCGATCGATGGCCGCAAGTGCGTATGCCATACAGAGAATTAGGGATTGTCGCTGACGAGCTGTATATTTTGCATGGTATAGGTCGCTTGATGGCACCGACGACGTCTTCTCTGGCACATCGAGTGACTCCACCCGTATCATCTAGTTTACTGCCATCTTACGCACGACCAACTGCTAACAGTACTGCTGGAAGATACCAGGGATCTAGACTTCCATCAGCAACTACGAAAATATCGTATAGCACGGGGGCAAGCCGGCTTCGGTCTGGAACATCAAGTGCGACAGCAATGAATAGACCTCCGTACGCAGGTGCGGGGGCATCTAAAAGAATTCCAGCATACTCGAGTCCTCAGCCTCAGAATGACACAAATAACACTATAAACCACACACAATGTATACCACTATCACGACAGCTTGTGACTGAACAGACTGTACCACCACCACCGGCTCCAGCAGAAATGATGGACTACGAAGATCAACAAACGCAACATCCGGAAAAAAATGATCAAATTCAGCCGCCAAAAGCTTGGAGTCTGGACGATTTCGAAATTGGGCGAGAACTTGGGACTGGCAAATTTGGGCAAGTGTATCTTGCTCGGGAGAAACACTCTCTTATGGTCGTTGCACTTAAAGTGTTAGTGAAAGAGCAACTGAAAGCTGCTGGAGTCGCTCATCAACTACGAAAAGAAGTGGAAATTCATTCGCGTATCCGGCACGAAAACATCTTGCCGCTGTATGCCACTTTTCAGGATGCCACACGAGGTAACAATGATGGAGGCTCGATTTGCTCGATGTGTTCACTAGCTAAATCTTTGTACTATATACAGTGTACCTGGTGCTGAAATATGCGGGAGGTGGAGACCTTTACAAGAAAATGCGTTCCATGCCTGGGCGACGGTAAGTTGGTTCGAAACGTTAGCAATTTGATCTCTTAGAACAAGCACTGGAACCTACAAAAACTCATGACAAATCTCTGGATCTCACCAATTAGATTTTCTGAGCGTCAAACCATGCTTTACACGGCACAGCTCGTCAGGTGAGAGATCAATGGTTGACATAATGAGATGTATTCGCAACTCAGTCGCTGTCTGTCTCAGTGCACTGGAAGCTTGTCATACCCAGCACGTAATTCACCGCGATATCAAACCTGAAAATCTCCTTTTATCCGAGGAGGTATGGGATGTCAATGAATTTTGCCGAATGAAGACTAACGAGTGTGGTTGCTTCTGTGTCAGGGGACAATCCAACTTGCCGACTTCGGTTGGTCATCTGCAAATGTGACCGCTGCGTAAGTAAAACTGGGAAACTAAATCACTCGAATCAGCTAGTGACTAGAAGACTTTGTCGTGAGATGTGTAGAACTCGTCGCGATACTCTTTGCGGCACTTTGGATTACTTGTCGCCGGAGATGATTCGGGTGTGTATTTATGATATGTCTCTCTGCTGTACCGTCAGGCTCATCTTGCTTATTTGATTAAGGGAGAAAAATATGATGAGTCCGTTGATATATGGGCTATTGGAATCATTATGTACGAGCTACTGGTGGGCAAACCTCCGTTTGAAGCGCCCGTAAGCATCTTTATTTACGTTATATCGCACAGTTGATAGTGAGGTTAAGATTTGAGATCAAACAGTCTTGTTTACTTCATTTATCTAGGGACAAAACGAAACGATCGAACTCATTACCGAAGGTCAACTTTATGTGCCTTCAATGGTCTCGCTTGCGGCAAAGGATTTGATCACGAGGGTAACGCCACTTCTTCTATTATCGATAGTGCAAAAGATTAACATTTCGCTGTGCTGGCTGCGTAAAGATTTTGCAGAAATCGCCTCAGAAGCGTCTGTCACTGCAGCAAATCAAGGCTCACCGCTGGTTCGCCCCACTGTCAACTCGACGAGTAAACAGGCGCGGATTTTGAACGATGTAAAACTAAAATAAAGTAACACTTTTCTTTTTTTATATCAAAGTATTATTTAATTAATCCCTTATGCTATTTTAAAATTACTAAAGAAATAAACAAACTACATCCATAGACTACTTTTATAATAATAACTACATTTATGACCGCTTTTGGAAAGCAAAATACCGTAAATTTCGACAATCTCGATACGATCATTTTGTAGTAGGAATACAGTTCCCAGTATCACACTTTCAGCAACGAGCATTTCTTCTTTTAATAAATTACAAGATGCGCCGCTATCCACCCGGCGCCGGGCAGGACATGCCGCCTGAGCGCACAGAGTCCACGGGAAGGGCGAGCGAGAAGAACCTTTAGGTCAACGCTCGCGTCAAGCAGGTTTTACTCCCGAGATAACACAAGAATGAGCGCTTCTACTGCCCAGTTACGCGATCTTCGCTCTCGACTTAATCAGCTGCGCATGCCGGAGTTGCGCAACATTCTCATGGACTTAAATTTAGCTCGCTCTGGGCGCAAGTCGGAGCTCGTTGAGCGCATCGCAATTGAATTAGAGGTTGGAGCATCAACTTTGTACTCAATAGCTCTTACTTTTATTAATTCGTGTGATTTGCGGCTTGTAGTCTTTTGCTGATAAGGCTTGTGGCAATACATCGACTGGCTTTTATACAGAGCGGTTTGCAGCTGGTATGCGGAGCATTGATCAGCAATTGAGAGGCAGGCCTACCTTACTTCCTACGCCGCAGGTGGTCTCGGGAAGTTTTTGTCCGGCGCCTCAGATATCAGTTGGTATTGGTCCGATTCCGCCTACGACGCCGACAACGTGCTCGATTCCCGCCCAGATTTACGGACACCGCCATGTGTCCCGAGCCCAACTACCATTTGGGGCGTTAAGCACCACGCCGCAAGGATCAAGTGTAATTCCTTTGCCCAATGGAGTGGATATGTACAACCCAACGCAGGCTGCAGCACTCAATGGCGCTCGATGTTTTTGCGCAACGCATGGCGTTTCGGGCAAGGTAGTTAAATGTGTTGATTGTGGCTTGATGGTGCATGCGAAGTGTCATCAGCTGATAACGGTGAGTGGGTCCGTGTTTGATTAGTCTGGTGGTTCGATACTAATGTCGCGCTTTATGTTGCAATAGCTGAGCAGCGACTGGTACTGTGAGATGTGTCGGTCCAAGACATACGATCCATTTTATCAAGTCCAGAAAACAGTGCTGGATCCCAACTTTGTGCGTTTTGCCAAGGCTGCAAGCACATTTCGACTTGAATATTATATCACAGACAATGATCTTAATACTATGTATGCCAAACGTGATCCAAAGCCTGGATCAATGTCGCCAGGATCGCTAGAGCTCCAATTGCGCTGTTTTGCTGTAAAAGAGGACCTTGCGACTGGACACTGCTGGCCAGCTTCAACACAACTGAATGTTAATGGTTTTGGTGTGCCGATTACACAGCGTGCTCCACCAGGGCATGCTAACCCTTCTAAAGTTCTGCGAGAAATCCCTGCAAACATTTTTCAGTACTCTCGGGTAGGGCGAAACGTTATCGATATTCGGACTGTTGAGAATCCGTCGGTTTTTGGGATTATGGTCCAAATCGTAGAAGTACGCGACATCAATGACCTTGTCAATGAAGTGAAAGAGGCGTCAAAGAATGTAACATACGAAAGCGCAAAGGAAGTTGTTATCAAGTCGTTTGGCAGTGAAGACGAGGATGACGTCGTTGCTACCGTCACAATGCTGTCGGTCCGTTGTCCGCTGGGTCTGTGTGTCATTGATCTTCCGGCTAGAGGGATACACTGCAAACATTTGCAGTGTTTTGATTTGAAAACATTTATATTGTTCTGCAAGAAAGCTCGGTCGAAGGCGTGGCGGTGTACAGTGTGCCATCAGGTATGAGAGTCTCCTATCTTATATTGATAGAATATATGTGTGTCGTGTTTGCTCATCAATTTATGTATGTAGTTTATTAAAGCATCCGATTTGCGCATCGATCCTTATTTAAAAAAGCTTCTTATAGAAGTTCAAGGCGAGGAAGATCTGGAAGAAGTCGAAATCTTCCCAGATGGATCATGGAAACGAAGGCTGGAAGAGGACTTGGTAGCAGAGCCTTCAGCAAAAAAGGTGAAGGCAGAGCAGCCTGAATTGGCAATAGCTTCAGCATCAGTATCAACTTCCACATTATCAGCACCGACAATTGATGCCCAAGGATCAAGTGCAACTGTGCCAGTCGAGATTGATCTATTAACAAGTGATGATGATGATGAAGAAACCACAAAAAATGCATCGATTGCTGTACCTTCAACGGTATTTGCTTCAACTCCTCTTGGTGACGACATGGATATATTAACAGTGAGCAGTGATGCTTGGGATATGCCTTCGGCGTCAGCCCCAATATCAACCATCACCGACACGACTAGTGATGGCAATTGCGGCGAATACTTCCCGTTTCCATTAGACGAAAATCTGTTTCCCTCGAATGGCTTCACGACTAACACAAGTAGCTCGTCATCGTGGATGCATTCTATTCCCCCTAATTCGGCTGTCAGCAGCCTGTCTCTACCGGCTTCCACGGTCACACCTGCATCAATGGCTGTACAGCCTTCACGAGATTTGTTGAGCCAGGCGGAATCCAACTTGGCCAACTCAATGGCCTCGTTTTCTCGGAATCATAACGTAGACAACCCGTTTGACCAGCGACAACGACGTCAAGCAAGATCTTTTCAAAAGCCTACGACGATGCCAAACGACATGGACATAATTTCATTACTGGAAAGCGACAGCGAATGAGTCATTATTTCGCTTTTTTAGAATTGTGAAGATTGTGATTAAAATGGAGACTGTAGCCATCTTGCGCCATCTTTTGAATAACCATAACAGATTAATTTAATTTCATATTAGCCGCGTTATTAAAACGTGATCCTTACACTTAGTCGTCAAGTTCCTGATCATGTCGTCGACTGTGCTGGAGCAGCTACGCGCTGAACAGGAGGAAATCGAAATGCTTGAGCGCGCGATCGTGGCCACGCTTAGCGAGAAATCACGCAATGTACGCCTTTTCTACTGACCAATCATTGATTCATAACTGGTTATCCTAAGAAAAAGCACTATGACAGCATCGTAGCCGCATTCTGCACGGTCACAAGGTAAGCATCTTACTTAACGAAGTAGCGAAGCACAGCAAGCACGTGAAGGAGCTTTACGATGACGAGGATAAGTATGTCTTGCTTCATAGTTGAGCTGTTGTTAGTGGTTATTCTTACTCTAGTTATTATCGGGCAGCATTTTTGCTGAGGAGACAGACAACATGCGCGGAAGAGCGGTATTTACGTCATTTTATGAGCAACTTAAGTCTGTTCGGTCATTCCACCGCAAATATCCGAACTCGATCGTCTCCCACGAGCCTAATTTGGAAGAGGCATTGCATCCAAACGTACAATTTTCGGGCGATGAGCGTTTTGGGAAGTACGTAGATTTGAACGAATTCTTTACGCGCTTTGTTAATATTCCAGAGCTGAAATGGTACGTTAAACTCAAAAGCATTTTACGCATAATGCTAATTGAAGATCTATATACTGAAGGCAAGCCCTGAAGACTCAAAAAGCTCTAGGGTCTCGTTCTGTGATCAAGGGAAAGCAGAAATCGGTTGGCCCCCCAATTGATTATCTGGCGTATCTAGCGTCTTTTGCGGATTTCTCGGCCATTCCAACAGCACAGAAGACCCAATCAATGCCGTACCAGCAGTACTTGACAGACTTAAAGGAGTATCTATTAGGTTTCTATCGCCGGACGCAGCCTCTTGTGGATTTGGATGATGTTATTGCTGAAACTTCTGCTAAGTTCGAAAAGCAATGGGCTTTACATGAGGTTGCTGGGTGGGATGTGAATCAAGAAAGTGATACTAAGGACTACAGCAAAAGTTGTAAGCATTTTTGCAAGCTTTGTAACAAAGCATTCGGCTCGGCAGGTGTGTATGATGGCCATCTGAAAGGAAAAAAACACAAAAAGGCAGTTGCTGCAAATACAGCAATCTCTTCAATGAGTAACGGCGCCGCCTCTAATGGCGCGAAATTACGCAAAGACACCAAGATGGTAGTGGAGGCGAAGCAAAAGTCCATTGCTTTTGACGAAGTCCTGATTCGCCGCATGTATGAGCTTTTGACGGAAGTCGTGCAAGGTACAATTTCTTACTTGGAACTAAAGCAGACGAGGACACACGAGGAATTACAAGCAGAAATCGAAGAAGAGGATGAAGGTACATTCTCTGATGTAGACGTTGAAAATGAGAATGAAGAAGATGAGGAAGAAGAGCAGCTGTACAATCCTTTAAACTTACCTATTGGCTGGGATGGCAAGCCTATTCCGTATTGGCTGTACAAGTTGCACGGCCTTGGTGTCGAGTATAAGTGCGAAATCTGTGGTAATCACAGCTATTGGGGACGACGTGCATTTGATCGCCACTTTCAAGAGTGGCGCCATGCCTTTGGAATGCGTTGTCTGAAGATTCCAAACACGAAACATTTCCATGATATCACACTTATGAGAGATGCTATTCAACGTAGGTGCAATTGCGTGAATTTTCTTGAATTAAAACTGAATGCTGCACTGGTGATTCTTTTTAAACAGTTTACGAGAAGCTTAAAGACCAGATCGATGCTGAAAGCTGGAATGCCGCAAATGAGGAGGAATTCGAAGATTCAGAAGGCAACGTACTTAATCGAAAGACGTTCGAGGATCTGGCTCGGCAAGGTTTGCTATGATCAGACAGCTGCAACTTAGCGACAGAAGAGTACTTGGGTTGGTCTTATTGCTCGCCAGAGCTAGCAAGTCAATTCACTTTTATAATTCTTACTCAAACGAGGTAATTTGCTTTCACAAAGTATACTAAGACCGTGTGCGGCATGATTACCTTATAGATGTACGTGTTTGGATCCGCTAGAACAGGTGCGGTACGATGAAGTGATCATATGTCAATCGGCCACAAAGACGATGAATATTAGAACCAATACCGTTGAGACTTTCCGTATGTCGCTTGCTTGTCTTGCTCATTTAATACTGATGATAGAAAAGGGCTTTATCACACCGATGTCGCCGCTTTGTAAGCAGCAAAAGTATAACATAACTTCGATTTGCGAGGTAAGGGACAGAATTACGAATGTTGCTTGCATCAGCACCCTCTCAACAATAATACCAAAATAAAAATTGAAGTTGACCCAGAGTGGCCATTTAGATCTGGTGAAATTTTGATGATTGGGTAAAAAATCAGTATGCGTAAATATTATCGCTGTATCCAACACCTTCATTCTCGCGCCAGAGCTTGCCACTTCTCCACCAAAATGACCACTGCTTTAATCCCCATTGTACGTACATCTGTGATTGATTTCATATATCTCGGAATTCTTTTAATTAGCAACATTTGATACGTGCCAGGCAGACGGCACGGAAGAGATTGAGGCTATTACGCTAGCTGATGTGCTCACGCGTGGTGGTGTTCAAGTGACACTGGCCACTGTCGGTAAAAACCCCAACAATATTGTAATAATGTCACGAGGCATCAAGTTGCAGGGCGATGTGACCATTGAAGCCTGCGTCGGCAAGAGTTTTGATCTCATTGTTATCCCCGGCGTACGAAAGACTTATTAATCGATCCCTTTATTTTTAAGTTCGAATTTTAATATTACACTGATTGCAGGGCATGCCTGGTGCTGAGCATCTTCGCGACTCCAAGGAGTTAGTAACGCTGCTTAAACAGCAAAAAGAAAACGGCAACCTGTACGGTGCCATCTGCGCTGCTCCTGCTGTTGTGCTGCACTCGCATGGTCTGCTTGCCTCTGGTCCAGCAACCAGTTACCCAACTTTTGAGTCGAAAATGACAGGCGTGGACTATAAGCATGAAAACGTCGTAGTGAACGGAAAGTGCGTAACTAGTCGCGGACCGGGCACTGCCATGGCGATGGGCATCAAGCTCGTTGAGTTACTATGCGGTTTTGAGAAGGCGCAATTGGTTGCCCAGGGTTTGCTCGACACTTCGTTCTAAAAAAATGTGTACTTTTAATTTCAAGTGCCAGACACAGTTAAAAAAAGAATGCTTTCGCGCTCATGTGGCTTAATTCCACCAAGCGTTGCATTGTGTACTAACTATGTAGCTTAAATTCTGCTCGCAACCAGCGGTTCTAGAGGAAAGGGTGCATCACTTGACGTAGGGAATCTTAGCATGGGCATTGATCTCGAGGTGTTGGCGCAGGTGGCAGCCACCGGGCTAGCTGGTATTTTT